GGTCAGAACACTCTAAATTGATCAGAGAATAGTTTAAAAAAGAGAGCTATAGCTATCTATTTGGTTGTCATATATTACTGACATCGCCGTTATGCGTGAAACATTATTTTGGATTCTTGCATCAAAATCGAATTTAAAAAAAATTAAAAATACGAAAGCAACAAGTTTGTAATTAAAAACTGATCTTAAACAAGTTGTTAATTTTCTCGAAACAAACGTACAGAGAACCATGATAGCCGCAGGTATATGAGGTCAACCATTTTTGGAACGCGAAGATTTTGACAAGAGGGCATTCCCAAACACGTCGTGTTCCATGTTTAGCAATTTAAAAATAATTATTGATTAACAGAGAATTTGAAATTTTATATTTATCTGTTATTAAAATCTCAAACTTTTGCAAATTTATATTTTCTTTTTTGACTTTTAATTATTGTACACTTTAGCACATGATCCCAATAATATTATTATAAATCTTAAATACAAAAATGTAATTAATTGTGTTCTTGGACGACTAAGCATTATACGTAGGTACCCAAAGATTAAAATTTAAAACATTAACTGAGAACAAAGTTATGTTTTTCAAGTTCAAGATATCGAATCTTATAAAATTATATCACATAAATTACAGTGAGTAATATTATCTTCTTCTTTTATATTATTCAAAACAATTAATTTTGTTATGAAGAGTAAAATACGAATTTTATGTTCAGCATACATACCTATTCGATTCAAATCATTAGGCTTAAACCATTCATTAGTGTCATGTACAAAATATGACATTAAAAGAATTAAAATCAAGAATAAAATGCAGTTATTTTTAGTACCATGTGTGTTTTTCGTTTTAAACAGCAAGAAGAGAAATTGGATGATTGAATGAAAAAAGTGAAAGTCTTTACAGAAAAAAAGATTCAAGTTCGTGGAATTCAATTAATGACATCGAGAAATGTATTTGGTGACGTTATTAATGAAACTAAGTAAACAATCTCATCGCTGAAGACGATAATATGATTCTTTGTTCAATTGTCATAAGTATTGATGAGAAGACATGTTTTATAATACAGGTATAGTATATCATTATAAATGACTTAGCTATCAAGTCTACCTTTTAATACTTATATTAAGATTTTTATTTTAAACAGTATTTATTCACGAATGTAATTTTAATAAAAATACTCAATTAAGATCCATCCACATTACACAATATAATATTATGCATAGTAAATTTGAGAATTTGGAAAAAATAGGAATAATATTGTAAACAATAGAAACTGCTGAGATAGAAAAACACACGAATATAGTATCACTCGCAGACTCCGATGAATCTGCACTTGAAATTCGAATGTTTAAATCGTCAGGTTATAGGCAAAATTAAAGATATCAGAATTACGAGAACCATAATTTAGTCTTGGATCGATGTTCATAGTTGAGTAAATATTTACTTGCGTATTATGTAAATCAGAAATAAATAATAAAATGCCTGTACAACAGATAAAGTCAGAAGGTCTAATCTAATCGATAATTTTTAAAGACACGAATCATGTTTTGCACATTTAATGACAACTATGAATTTGTCTAAGATATATAGCGGATCAATTGTTGTTGTAAATCAATGACTTATTAACTTTTAGTATATCATATCATACAATGCGTAAAATAAAGATAAGCACGACCACATTTATATTATGGTCTAAGTTTAATCGTTCACAATTTGTTTTTCACTCTGCAGGTTGGTACCTGGACGTCCTGTACGTTGAACATACCTGTATACCATATTACAAATAACAACATTATGTAGCACGAAGTCATAAACAATAGTATATACATTTATAATTTCAAATATTTCGCTATTTATAATATGTACCTCACTACATAGTATGTATGTATACACTACTATTGATAAAATATATGACGTATTCTTTGTGTGCATTAAAACCACTTTAAAAAGTAGAAAGATATTTACTCGTAAACGTTTTTTCTATAAAGAATATCGTGAAATAACAATGGAGAATTCCGACTTTTATGATAATAGACAGCGCACGCATTGTCAATTCGAATGAAAATAAATTATAAATTTATTATTATTATTAATATTATATACATCATTTGTAAAGAAATAACGAAATTCTCAACTGATAAAATACAAACAGCATTACGTCGAATAAAATGATATAACTACAAAACACACTATCGAAGTGTCTAGTGTCCCTGCAGTATAGGTATTTGGGATATTGAAAACATGTCTGCGGTATGAGTGAAATTTTTGTAAATTTAAAACTTAACAATTTGTTTCGATGATGACAGAATTTCTTGTGGACATAATACTGAATTCGATGCCATTTTCGATTTTTGCTACTCTGTGATTTATTTGTGACAACGGACTCGTATTGTGGACGAATTAATATTAAACCATATTATTACTATGTTATTTTATGTTGATAAAAATTATGTGCATTCTTTTAATATATATTATATTATCTTTAAAGCGTTTTATTATTAAATGTTTAACTAAACACAATTAATATCGACTAAATATTTAGTATGTTACATCATAGCCATTTTTAACTCAGCGTTGATAAATGTTTAGTTATTTCTGATATATTCTTGTATCTATCTATTATTTTATTCTATAAAATCGTGAGATTGTATTCTTATTGAATATTCAAACGTTCCAACATACACTGAATTTTGTAAACTTTTAATTTTACACGAGAACAATATCATCAAATTAATAAGTAAAAATATTATAAATAATATAATAGGTAGTTATTAGTTATTATAATATAGTTTTTATTTTGTTCAAGAACAACTGCCTATTGAGTTTATAAGTCAAAACAATTATAGCGTTGGGTGCAAACAGTCCGATAGGTTTAGTAATTTGGGTTATAGTAGTTATTAGTTATCATATTGAAGTTTTCGTTTGATGTGCTTCGGCTTCGGAGTCTGTGCGAGCAATGGAGAGATGTTATAATATTATGTTAATGGTGCATCACATTATTATTATTATTATTGGATTGCGTGCAAAATATAAAAGATTCAAAACTATTGGTAGGTAGTCAGAGAACAAACAGTACCTAAAACAATTTGAATAACAATATGAGCGCATTTGTTCGTTAATAGAAAGGTGCGAATTGCGTCGTATTTATTTATCGGCTCTTTGAAGCGTATTACCATATTTGCCTCGCCAAAACTTGTATAATAATCGTGTAAACGCCGACGCCACCGTGTCAGAGCACGCGTACTTGCTAGTAATAAGATTAAGTAACCCGGACACGGCATAATTTATTTACGATGGACGAAAATTTTTGCTCTACAACGACCGTATTCCTTATAATATTGTCGTATTAAAATCGGGCAGGGCTGTAATTGGACGCGGAGGGCTGTTGTTTGACAAATACATTAAAAGGCACTACTCACGTATAATTATTAATATGTGTCTATACTTATGGACTTGATATAATTACACCTATAGGTATATATTATATGGTTTCGTGCGGCCATCACGACTTGGATAGAAATTATACACTGCAACAGCGCTGTGCGAGAAAAGTTTCAGTAAGTATAAAATTAGATTTAAAAGAAAAAAAAAATGTTAGAATTGTATACCAGCCGTCTGTGTATAAAGTATATAGCGTGTCACGAGGACAGGTTTTTTATTATCATACATTTATACGTAGGTACTACCTACGTGTTATGTTTAATGTTTAAAATCTCGGAAAATCACATGGTGATATTATTTATTCATTTTCACTTCAAGTATGATATATACATTTAAATATAAAACACATATTATGGTAAATAAAATATCTGCCATATACGTGCGGGTCAAACTAAACTGTCATACGATTTGTGTGCCCTCTCTATAGTATAATATATATATATTGTGATTCACCGAGAACCCCATTTTTCTTGTACAATGAATTTACTCAAATTCTAATTTTCTGAATTTCGTAATCATTATTTAGATTTGTACACCATGTGTAATGTGTCGATACAAACTTCTTTTTTTTTGACTAGGTAGGCATAAATTATTTTAAGTTAATTATTTTTTCTAAATCAAAACTGGGACGAATAGTTTCTGAGTAATCAATATGTATAAACATATATTGTACCTACTAGGAATAATAGTCCTTAAAAATGGTTTCATATGTATCAAAAACAGATTATGTAACATTGAATATAGTGTGTATATCTACATTCAAATGTTTTTACAAATTATAAAATATAGATGGATCAATACTTTTTTATAACCATTAATTGTTGTTAAAGTTTTAAAATCATCAAAGCACGCCCACATCTTCTAAACACATTAAATAATGGACATATATATTCGTAGGTTAAGTTATTTAAACTCAAAAACTAAGTATTTACTTGCTCGAATTTCGATACACCGACATTTTCAAAAGATTCATCAAATTAACATTTTACAGAAAAAAAAGAGTGATTGTCATTTGAAAACCAAAAACTGTATCGCGCCACCGTGCGTTTCTTAACTGGTATAGAAATATATTATCAATTGAAAACATTCTTCTTTTTTTGAGTAATACTTACACACTTAAAAATTCCAAAAACCAGAATTTTAATACATTCATTATTACAGAGAAAAATGAGAGTCAGCACTCTTTGCGAATCACCGCCATCGTGGTGTATACTGTACACTTTATATCTTTCGTATGATATACTCATATTGTGTTGTACCTATATATATATACTGCAGTATAGATATTACTTCGATGATCATTGGTATTCGGAAAAGATATTGCTATTACAGAACGAGCAAAACGCTCTGGGTCCCGGCACGAGTCCGTAATGTACAGATTGTACATTAAAATATAATATATTATACGTTTACAAGACTAGTAAAGCTAGAACGAGATATCGACAACGGGCAAAATACACCGAGCATTATTACGAACGAATCATTATCTTTTTACAGTGCAGATATGGATGTGTATAATGCGTGTATTCTATATATGACACGTATCGGCGAGTTCTGGTGTTTTCGAGTTCGTAATGATCGAGAGTTGAATGTCGGTAGTCAGTAGTGTGAAAACTTCCGATCATGTTGCGTCGTCAGATTACGTTAGACGAAAAAATCGGTATAATACGGCGGTTGGAGAACGGCGAGGGAACCGACGCAATCGCCAAAGAATTTAGCGCCTCGTCGTCGACGATTTCCACCATATGGAGCAGACGGGATTCGTTGAAAACGATGTTTGAGAACACGTCACTTCGGACCAAACAGTTGCGGACTGCGCAGCACATCGACCTCGAAGAAGCTGTGCTTGCGTGGTTCAAAAAACAACGATTGGCGAACGTGCCCGTTAGTGGTCCCATGTTGAAAGTAAAAACTGAACAGCTGGCTGAAGGATTGAAGATGGAGGATTTCAAGTGCTCTGCATCTTGGATTCTGAGCTTCCGCCAACGGCACAACATTGGTTTCGGCAAGATGGCGGGTGAGTCAACGGCGGTGTGTTCCAAGTGTCACGACGACGTATGGCCAGGTTACGAAGATGATGAATTTTGTTGTGAAATTCTTGAATCAGATCTAGATGGTTTCGACATAGTCTTGACTCCTGATAACTCAAAGCGAATAAGTGGTTCAGGATGATATTTCTGTCGAACCTGATGATGATTTTGGAACTATACCGTCAATATCCGAAGCTCGTGCTGCAACGATGACTCTTAAAAAAAATTGACTACATAAAAAACGACAAAGATGTTAGGAAAAAGCTTTGATTTTATTAGAACCTTCTGTTGACACTAAAATATATTTTATGGAGCAAAGTTCGATCAAGGTTTATTTTCAGGAAATTAAATTCAAGTGATGATATATTATATTATATATATTATATTGTATTAATAATTTAATTTGTAATTATTTGACGAGAGGAGTATAGCAATAAACTTGGATTATAACTCAAGTAGAATCGTCTGTTCTGTTGATATTTTCCCGCTTTCCGATTATGGCGAGTAGTTATGTCCACTCGTATACAACGAACTAAAGAGTGAATAACGAGCTATGCTGATTACAACGAGAAAACTCGCTGGCCCCCTGGGACTGGTCGTAACCGTTTTCTTTATATTATTATTACGAACAATTAGTTATAAAGTCTTAACTTTTCATTGTTCGATCATCGATACGTGTGTATAGGTTTCAACGTGTTGCATTTAATTTAGTACTCGTGCACATGTAATATTACGCCCTAGATTGATAGTATAAAAAAATACTTAAAAACGTCTGGAGCGAGATACTCATAAATAATATTATATCCTATTACTAGTATTATTGTTATTATTGTTCTTAATACTTTTCGTGTATATTGTTGCGCGCAATTGTTGCAGGATCCTGAGCGTGGAGTATCTATACCTACACCTACCCACCTATCTACCTACCCGCCTACTATTACTATAACTATGCACATAATAGTATGATATAGGTAGTGACAGCGCGCGTATATAATATTGCGTCAAAGAAAGAAAGAACAAAATTACCGAATTCCGAACGACTCGTTCATTATATTATATCGAACGGGCATTATTCTTGCGTATTGTCTTAAATTTAATTTGATTTATGCAATATGCGTTTTGGCCGGGGCAGGAAAAAAAAAGAAATAAACATAAAATCTCGTGTATTCGGACGCCCGCGAAAACCAATCGACGTACGCACATACTATTCTCGTTATGTACCTATATAATATTATTATATTATGTAGGTAATATTATTTTTATTATTATTATTATTATTATTATTATCATGATTGAGTTACGTAACCGAAATATTCACGTGTCATTCGTGTGCGGATAGTTACGGCGAACACACGCAATCTAACACTATATAATACTGCAGATGCCTGGTGCACATACCGCTTTATATACAATATATATATTATATATAGGTACGTATATGAGTGTAACAAGACGGAATTAATACGATTTGTTTACGTAAGTCAAAGGCTCATGAGAATTCGTTCAATTAAAAGGACGTACACACATAGGACTATAGGAGGTAGCTGTATAATAATATATATACAATATATTATTAGGTGTATAGATTTTCGCCGTGGATTACGTGTGCCGATAATTGCGTTTCGATACACGTCTGTGGGTGTTTCAGAAAATAAAAAATAGTAATAATAACAATAATAGTAATGAAATAAACGTGCGGAGTACAATGTTCATTATTGCCAGTTGGTGATCGTGGTAAATTATGTAACCCGAGCTGACACCGGCACACCCCACAAGAGTTACCTCTACCACTCTGCGGATATCGATGGCTTACGGAATATCGAATATAGGTAGGTACCTACCTATAAATATTATACCGGACACTGTATACCTAGGGTATTTAATTTTCTAGGTTTTTGGTCAAAAAAATATATTCCTTGGTGATATCATAGGCATTGGTGAGCGTGAATATTGGATATACCTATGAAATGGAAAAACGAGAATAACTAGGTCACAAGAATCGGAAATATTATTAGTAGGTATTTTTATAAGTAGGTATTAAGCTTGTCGTTTATGTAATTATATTGATAATACCTAGTATTACCTACGTATATGCGGTTATGTCATAATATATATTATTGTGAGTAGTTGTGACATGGTATCATATTATATCTGGATATTGAATCCCTCTGCACATTACACTAACGAGGACCGAATATTAAAATTTATAATATATTTATATAATATCTTATTGATACTAGTTATTATAGTTTAAATAGTAAAATAGCTGTTTTCCATGGTACTGCCACCCTTGAAATAGGTACTGAAACGAGGGTCCCTCTCATGGCTGTTGGACAATTTACACATTTTAATTGATTAGCTACATTTTATCAATATAAACAAGATGTTTAATAGTTACGTGTATATCAGTTAATGTGGAACAAAAATTAAATAACATGCAGATTTACCGTACAAACACATACTTATTGCAGAGAATTAGGAGATTGCCTAATATAAGTAATAGGCAATAATAATATTTGTGTTATGTGACTGTACGAGGTTAGAAATTAGAATATACATACGTCGTTGATATTATTATAATAATAATTACAGATTGTTGCTCGACATGATTTACTTAATTTAAGTAATTTTCTTGTGTAGGTACATATTGTGTGTCTGTAACTCTGAACTCTGAAGTCACTTTTTAAAGTAGAAAAAAGATTTTCAACTTCTATGCAGGTTTCTGGTACCAAAATTGATGTAGTTTGCAATTTGATTACATTTATTAGTACTTTTTAAACAAAATGGGAAAAACGAAAAAAATATTACGAACATTTGTTGACATTTTAATCCTTTTAGTTTTTATGAAAATAGTCGTCGTAAAAGTCAGACAGTCTATGCTCGGAATTATTTCGCACAGTGTACAAAGATTTATCATTGAATTCAAATTTAACTTATCCATTACAGTTGCCTACTCAATGATGAGGTACCAATACGACTACAACAAAACGGTTACCTACTCGACAGTTTTTTTTATACACTGGAATTCTCATAAAATGTTAACAAGTATAATATTCTGCTTTTTGTATTTACATACAAATATGTAAAAGAAAATAATCCCTTATAATGTTCATATTCCGAGAAAAAGAGTGTTTATCTTTAAAAGAATAGTTCTGTATAGTAATATAAGTCTCAAAAGCACAGTAATTAGCGTTACTATGTTACTATATTGTGTGCTATCTACTAATGACTAACGACTAACTGAAAATTGAATTACATTAAAATATGTAAATGGACTAATTAACTGTATAAGTATTAAGTAAATGGTATTTGTATATAGATATAAATAACTACTCAAATATTTAAAGATTTAAGTGTATATTTAAAATCTTAAAATTAAATAAATATATATTTGTATTTATATTTAATTTTAAAACCAGTATCACCATTAATCGCAAATCGCAAATCGCAATCGTATTATAATATTCAAACTTTCTAACCTTATCCAACGTTATTAATTTCTTTGTTTTGCACTTAAATCTTTAAATTTTTGAGTAGGTTATTTATGATTACATAAAAATACCATTTACTTAAAGTTTAAAAAAATATTTAGTCCTACACTCCTATATTTTAACACTCACGCACTCACGCCATGGTAAAATGATTTCGATTAAAACTTCTATACAATTATTTGTTTCATAGGTATAGGAACCTATCGTTTTTATTTCAAATAATATAATACCTATGTTCATTGTTGAATTTGATAATCTTCAAAGTAAAAAATTTCATTAGAAAACGATAATTGTTATATTTACCTCTGATATAGTAGTTATACTCGCATGAAAATTACCGAATTATAATAATAATATATACATTATACATTATATTTTATTTTATTTATATACATTATATTTATATTTTTGTGATTCATATTTCATTTATCCATTTCTAGAGAGATAGAACAAACTTTTCGTTTGTAAAATGAATATAATACTTACCCCCAAAATGTATCTGTAAAATACAATGTAGCAATTTAGTGCACTGAGTAAAAAAATGTATAGTAGTATTTTTGCATACATTTATGTTGTCTTACCGAATTGGTAACCGTCAATAACTTGTTTCCAACCTATTATTGACCATTATTATTGATGCAGCTAATACTTTAGTTAGGCCTAAATTTGTAAAGGCAATACATTGCATGTGTACTGACATGAATTTGACTATGTATATGTATGGTTAAAAATGTTTTATTTTTTCTCGATTAATTTATATATTCAACAATAGATTTTTAAGAAAAACATTTAATATCTAATTAGTGTAATAATTATCAAAAATCTAAATCATAATAATATATAGGCTGGTTCACCAAACACACATAACTCCTTTTTTCTTCAATAATGCAGTTATTCAAAATATGATTTTTGGAATTTTTTCACTTAAATTGTTTTTAAAGTTATGGATCTTTATATTATTACTAATCGACTGTGGCAAAACGTGTGTACAACCGAACAATCTATAAGAGTGAAAAAATCATTATCTAAAATAAATTTGGAATAAAAAAATTGAATGGTGTCATTGTGATCGAATAGCAATATTTCAAACTTATTAATAAAGCTGTTAAAGCACAACTGAAAATAATTAAAATGATAAAACATTTTTAGATTTGGAAAAGACACGTTTCTCAAAATGAAAATCCAATTAATGAAAATTTCTATTTGTAATTTGACCGAAAGTAAAAAAATAAAAGCTAAGTCAAAAGTTTTAAAATGTAGTTTTTATTATCACTAGAAATCATACTACTCTACTACCTTATAGTTATGTTATAACGGTTATGGGAAAATGATTGAGTAACACACATAAAAAGAGCACGTGGTACCAGTATCGTGGCTGGGTAATATGAAATAAATATTGAACGATATAGTACAATTTCACTGACAAAATCAAAATTGCTGCGTCTAGGTTAATATTGGAGCTTAAACAAGTTAAACACACTATTGCCAAGTTTGAAGAGAGAATATTTTCGAGATAGCTGTATATCTTTTTTGTAAAATATAGTCTACAATAAAAAAGTTACAGTTTTTTACTTTTTGTTTTTGTAATAATATATATTTTGTGACTCTCAAAAATAAATTATACTGGCCATTGCAGTAACCGTTCTTTGTTGAAAAATATTTTACAAAAAAACATACCTACGATTTAATCTCGAAAATATCTTCCACCTAAAATTCGGGTGAAAGGTGTTTAAACTCTCATACTGACCCAGACGCCACGATTTCGATTTTTCCCAAGTGGAATTAATTTTGCTGTACACCTATATACATTCGTTAGTCAAAAACAGTACGGCGTCCAGTACGCCCAGCCTTGTACGTACATAACACAACATCATAATAACGCACCTGATTATTGTTGCGGATAAAACGTCGAGTAAATATGGATGAAACAAAAAAGTAACAAAGTAAAAAAAAGAAAAGCAACA